ATTTTTTTTCGGAAACAGTTTTTCTGCAATAATTTTTGACCCAAGCCTTGTACGAGCTTACTTTTACCGGCATCGTGCTCCTCTCGTCAAGACGCATCGAATTAATTAACTTGACCTTGAAAGGTCAACTTGAAAATTTGACCTCAGGTTAAGGTCATGACCTGACCGGAAAGGGTCATGTTGCATATAAGTCGATCCGTATCGTCGAGCTGAACACATCTAAGGCGTTTTCATCGCTCTAGCATGCCTCTATCAAAAGTTATTTGCGAAAAACTGTTAGATACCATTCGTGACCTAAGATGACCTCAGGGCATAAACAAGGGTCACGGACACCATTTTCATGTTCAGTGTGTCTAAACCACTTGTAATTCGGTGTTTGGGAGTGTTTATAATGTCTTTCGTCCAAAAGAGGCGCATTTCAATTTTCTCCCATTGACTGGGTCATGGGTCATGGGGGTTAATGGGGAGGTCGCAAAATTGACCTGACCTTAGGTCATCGGTATCAAAATTCTGAGATATACATTTTGTACATGCTATTGCTCTTAGCAATCGCTGAAAGTTTCAAAGCGATCGGTCACTCGGTGTGGCTATGACAGACATTGAAACTTTTTATGAGGTGAGGTCACTTCAAGTGATCTGGTGACCTGACCTTGAATGACCTTGGTCTGAAATTTTAACAACATGTGTAGAATTGATGTATGATAAGGTGTACCAAAAACGGCGGCGCGGAGCGCCTCCGTTTTTGAGATATTCGCGAAAAACCACAAGGGGGGTGTTCAAACACCCCCCCCCCCAGCAGGGCGCGGGTTAAGCTGTACTAGTCAAAAGGCATCATATCGCATATCATTCGAACCGCCTGAACACAAGGAACACAACGACACCATTTTTAAGCTCTAGCCTCATTGTGTGCTAAGTTATTAACAAAAACGTAGTTTAACCTTAATTGACCTCAGCTGACCCGACCCAAGCGTTCTTGCAGCTTGCAAACACCAAACAGATGTAAATTAATTACCCCGTTTACATGAGTTATTCAGCCCTAAACGGAAATATCCGATTAGCCAGGGAACGGAAAAATGCGTTTCGGTGGCCCCGTTTACATGAGCCTTATCGGAAAAATCCGTTCCGGAACGGATAATTCCCTTTACGCCGGCAGCCCGAAAAATACGGATATTTTGCGCATTTTTACATGTCTGGCGCAGCTCCTATCAAGCATTATTTGTGCTTGTTTTAGGCTTAATTTACTTGATTCTTAAAAGTTTTGTATGTAGAATTGGAAATAATCATGGCACAAGCCATTATTTTACTTGTGTGCTGTAAAAAAAGTGTGATTAATTGTCAGAAAGCAAGTAAACAATTGAGGTTTTGGACAACATTGAAGAGCACATCTACATTGAAAGTCTTTTTGGTTTCAGAAAAAGGCTAAAACAGCTCATAATAGTCATAGCTCATCATGATGGACCTCCAGTAAGTTGACAAAATGAAAATGCATGAAAGGATGTGCAGGATGGTGCCACACTTCAGAAAACATTGGTATGAAAGTGGGTGGTGCGGGATTGTGTATACATTTTTAGTTGACAGATTTGAAGCACTTGAATATTCCAGCATTCTATTTTCATTTTTTGCTTTTAGCTGCTCAGTTCTTCAAAGACAGGGCCATGGGTCAGATCAGTACTAGGTGAATTGTGTAGTAGATGTGACCTGTGGGTGCATTGCTTGACTGTCGGGTGCGTGCAACACAGTATCCATCATTTCCATGTGTTTTAGTCATAACAGAAATTACATCTCCTCACCACCAAACTTTAAGACACTATCAGTGCATTTTTCAAAATGCATAGAATAATCCACTCTCAATCACACCAGGTAAGATGTGAAGATGAAGTCCGAGTGGTACCTATGTGGTTTGGTAGGTTGGTTGACCTTGTAGATTTGTAGGAAGTAGTTTGGTATAATAGGTTGTAGGCATGTAGGTGTGTTTGTAGGATGGTAGGTTGAAAGTTAGGTTGGTAGGTAAGGTTATGTATGATTCTACAAATTCCACAAAACTTGCCAGTTGCCTGCTTCCACCATCCGAGATTAACCAAACTTTCAGAGACCTTCCCACCACTGAAGAATCTACTTCTTTGGAACAATAAGGTGAACATTTAAATATAGGTGGGGGGGGGGAGGGGCAGATGCCAGTATCACTGAGTAAATTTGGCTTGTGTCTTGTGTACATTTTGGCATGCAGCCAAGTTACTGTCCCAACCAGCCAGCGTGCCCTGCCGTCTGGTGGCTGTTCGCTGAAGCATAAGTTATCTGAATCACTGCTAGGAAGTTTGAAGTACCTAGGTAGAGAAAATTGTTTGGGAGTATTTAGGTACTAAAGCAAAATAAATCAAGCACCATATCCAGTGTACCAAGCACTAAATGGCACTAGCATGCTGTTCCAAGTGGCTATAGGGAGCGACTGGCTGGGAAGGCTGTTGGTTGCCCTGGAATTGAACGCTGATTGTTGAATCTAAGAAATATGGAAATTACCCATAAACTAGAATGCTTCCCTTTTGAAGCATAGGACGTTCCTCTCAACACTTATGTAGGTACTTTATGAATCTGACACAATGGCGCGAAATCAGGGGCAAAAAGTGGATTTTTCATTGTCATTAGACCTACCATTCAAGATAAATATGTATTTTGATGTGTAAACTAAAAAATTTCATCTATAAAACATGCATATTCATGTCATTTTCTGCTAGATGCGCAAAAAATCCGTTTAGGCCTGACGTCCTAAACGGATATTTCCCATTAATTCATCGGATATTTCCGTTCCGCGTAATCGTCATTTTTGCGCGCCCAAACCAGTTTACATGAGTCGAAACTTGCGCACTTTTCGCTAAACGGAAATATCCGTTCTAAACGTCATTTTCGCTGACTCATGTAAACGGGGTAAATGTGTTACAACACAGAAACGTTAAAATAAAGCACAAATCTCCTATCTTTACACATTCGGGGAAATTTCCTTGAAAATTGTCATGACATTTAGATGACCTCAGATCAACCGAATTTGAAGAAAAAAAACTGGGCTGCCTATGATGGCACTCGGTGACCTTGGGATATCCTGCAAGTTTGAATCAAATCGATGGTGAACTCTAGTTTCCATGAACAAAATAGTGCATTTTTTAGGGCCATTTTGACAATGTACCGGTTTTTGTGACCTTGTGGCCTGACCTCAGGTCAATGGAATCGAAAACTCCCAGGCCATGTGTCAAATAGATGCCCCAAGTTGTGTCTGAAATTTAGTAGCGCTATACGTGCCATAGCACCCACGCTAACTCTGGTATAACTCTGGCAATATCTCTGGTATTCACTCACCGCTTAACCCTATTCCTGGCGGGGGGGCCTCAGGAGCCCCCCCCCCCCTGAGGTTTTTAGGTTATTTCTCCCAAACGCGTTGAGCTAGGAAGCTCAAATTTTCTGACTTTTCCTAAAAGGCCTCTACGCAACATCTCTGAAAATTTTGAGTTGATCTGACCTCAGGTCAGGTCACCAGAGGCGGTTTGGTGACCCTACCTCAGAAAAGTTTGCAATCACGCCAGAGCTAGAGTTTTTGACCGATCAATTTCTTCTCTTCAGGCTTTAGTTAGGGTACCAGTATGTGCAATTTGTATATCTCGGAATTTTGATATCAGTGACCTAAGGTCAGGTCAGTTTCGCGACCTCCCCATTATAAGTCAATGGGGGAAAAATCAACTCCCTGTTTTACCACTAAAACGGGTCGGAATGGCCCCATATACCATACATGACTTCATATACGATCAACCTTCACTACCTTGAGGTCTGTTTTGCTGTTGGGCAGCTGTGAGGTCATGTGACGTCATCAAAGGTCACCAAAGGTTTTTGGCCAATAACTCCGTACAGGAACAAGATACAGACGCGTGGATGGTCTCATTGTGTTCAGCTCGTCAATCCGCATCGAATGATATACATGATGACCTCGAGGTCACGTGACCTGAGGTCAACCTTTGACCTTGACCTTTCGAGGTCAACATATATATCATTCGATGCGGATTGACGGGAGGATCACGATGATGCCCTTAGTTTGTTCCTATCTTGACTAATTCGAAAGTTATTCGAGAAAAACTCTCTCCATATCTAGCGCCGCCATTTTGACTTTTTCGACCCCTGTGACGTCATCTTTGACCTGACCTGAAAATGACCTTAGTAAAAATTGTAGATCTTGACCGTGCGTATCCGATGCCGTTTACCGTTTGTCGCTGCGATGTGTAGTTTTTGAGATCTGAAGGGGGGCCGAATCGCCCCCCCCCCCCGCCAGTTTCTTGTCCCGGCGGAGCCCGCCAGGAAAAGGGTTAACTAGTCCAATTTTCCCCTGACATTGTACCGGTTTTTGTGACCTGGTAACCTGACCTGAAACGACTGAGGATTGAAATTTTCAGGATAGGTGCGAAAAGGTTGCCCCAGAGGCTATACCAAATTTGGCGGCGCACCGCCGTTTTAACGTTATTTGCGAAAAACCTTAGCTGCATCAGCTCACCCTCACCCTCGCCGGGTGAGGGTGAGCATATTGTCACGAAATTATTTACAAAAAGAACAATTTTTTGTACCTATTGTAGACGTCTTGCAGGAATAACAATCGGAACAAGCACCTAACAACAACAACAACAAGCACCAACAACTAATAAAACCCACTGAACTTACGTAGTCATCGCTCCCATGGGCGCCGCCATCTTGCCTGGAATGACACGAAACATGCTTTTCAGATTCACCGCGTTCCCCAGGAACCCGCGGTGAATTCCAACGGGGCTCTCCGAACGGCCAATCTCTGGGAATATTTCGCGTGCATGGAATATTCCACGTGGAATGTGCCTCTCCGAACGCACCTTTAATTTGGCTATCCCAACTCAAAACTAATGCTAAGGTGGGATGGTCATTGGTTACTTTTTCAAAGTCAGGTGCGGTGTTCAGACGTATTTCTTTTTTATTTACAAAATGTGCACTTGTTTCAGGTGGCACCTGTGTACCTACCAAACAGCATCCATATTGGGCCTGTCGCTGCACCGACGATTGGACGGGAGACAACTGTAAGAACATGTTCGATTATTGCTTTTCGAATCCATGTAAAAATGATGCCAAGTGCTCACCTGTGGTTGGCAGTTACAAATGCCATTGCGCTAGGGGGTTCACTGGACGAAACTGTGAGGTATCACTTGGTGTTTGCGAACGCTTAGAACCATGCAAAAATGATGGCAGATGTATAGCGCTCGAAAGTGAAATATCCGGTCGATCCTATAGGTGCGAGTGCCTGGAAAAGTTTACTGGACCGGACTGCGAAGTAATGCGACCGTTGAGGCTAGGACTGTTTCATCTGGATAATGGCATGGGTATGTCTTTAAAGTCGTACCCCATAAAACTGGCAATGCAAGCGCTTGGTACTGAACCGTTCCGCTGCTTCATTGATCTGAAGGATAATACGTACCTCGAAATTGGTATGGAAGACCTCATGACTGCGTCTATGAATCGAAAACGATTCTGGAAGAGTGAAAATTTTAACGTGAGCGACTACCACTACGGGAGTAGTTTTTATCTCTACGAGTTCACGCACCTGTACGTCTATCCTGGCACATACAATGTTGAAGTTACGTGCACTAACAATGGCTATTCCACCCATTTGGGCGTGCGCCCGGTCGTTATTGCTCCCAACGCCAATCCAAACATGTGCCTTCCGACGGTGGACATCCGCAATTCGGGCAAGTCCCGCGACGTAGCTCCCGAGTACAATCTTCGCGACACGCTCCGAATATACGCCGTAACAGAGTCAGGCTGCCCGACTGTGGATATAGATCAGGTGCGGTGGTCCGTGCATCACATCACTGATGAAGAGCCCTATCCTACCAGTAGCAACAAAGTGGACCTTGCGGATGTTCCCATGAACCAACACGGCTTGCGCATTCCTGCTTTCACGCTTTCGTACGGTCTGTGGGCGGTCAAGATGCGCGCGGACGCCTACATCGACTCTCTGGGCACAGTGTCCGCCTACGAGCTGGGCTGGTTCCGTGTCACACCGCTGCCGCTCAGGTGTCGGATCGCCGGGGGTGACGTGCTATCGCTGCCGCAGGAGAGCATCGTGGTGGACGCGACAGACTCGCGTGATGACGACAATCCTGTCGGTGCACTCGGTCACATAGATGTCCGATGGCGTTGCTGGCGTTCTCCTTCTAGGCAGGGAGACAGTTACTGCCTCGGCCCCCAACGTGACCTGCCCAAAGCACGGCACAAGCGCTTGGTCGCACCTGGCTTTCGGATGACGGTCCACGAAAGGTATGCATTCGAAGTCACCATTGAGAAAAAAGGACATGGCAAAATACCCACTCGAAATTGTACTGCTCGCCAGACAATTGATGTAATGCCAAAAGGCAGTAAGCGTGCTGCTATTGTTTGCCAGTATAATTGTGACGGTGATGTCGACTGGCAGGAGAAGATATCATTTCGCGCCGAGTGTCTCAACTGTGAAGGTCGTCCATTTAGCGTGTACTGGCACATAACAGACGCCATAGGCAATGGTACAGACAACATCATCAACTGGCGTGAAGACACGGCCTTTGGACAGAACAACCAGCATCTTATCATCAATGAGGAGGTGCTGCATCCGGATCGATCGTATTACATCGCGCTGAAAGTGGCTGCCATAGGGGAGAATGTAGAAGCAGGTCACGCTCAAATGACAACGCTGCATCTCAATGGTGCTCCCAAGTCGGGCCACTGTTGGGTTAAGCCCACAGAAGGTGTTTCAGGGATCACATTCTTTTCGCTGGGCTGCGCTAATTGGACTGACAAACATTTACCTCTGTTGTACCAATTTCAAGAGAAGCGTCATGATGGTAAATATTACGTCATTTATGAGGATATCAATCCGACCGTCGACAAAATAATGCTGACAATAGGTGATGCAAAACAGGGCTATAGTAACAAACTGCGTGTTCGCATTAGCGACGCTGGTGGTGTTTATACGAATACGTTTGTGAGCGTCATAGTTCGTCCACCGGTTCCTGTTGTCGAGGCAGACATCTTTACATACACTGAGAAGGTTTTCAAGATCCTTCCAAGTGGTTTGCATAAGATTGCGGAGGCAATTAGGGATGGCGATTTTCCGACAGCACTGCAGGTTGTTTCTACATCTTCATCGCTTCTCAACGAGATTACAGACCCGAGCGCGGATCCATCCGAAGTTAGTGAAGTGGAAGAGAAACGAAAAATGAGGAAAAAGCTCTTCGATTCCATTGAAGACATCCCCACGCCAACGCTCGGTGCCTTACAACAAACATCGGACTCTTTGGCAGCAGTCGCTGGTGGTCACCGCGACGAATACTTCCCCGAAACTGCCGAGAAGCTTCTTAATCTTACCGACAGGCTGGCCAAAACTCTGTTGGATAATTACGCCAATGACCCATCTGTTTCACCAAAACTTATTGAAAAGGCGGCCCAAAGTGTAGTGAACACTTTATCGTCGGCAATACGCGTGGCCACTGAGGATGTAAAGCCACCCAGTCTAGAACCTGTGGACCTTTTCTACCCCAACAACGAAAGAGATTATGACGTCTTTGATGATAAACGCATAGACCATCTCGAAGAAAAACGTAGGCGGGTGGCTCGCGTTGCGGGCAAGTATAAATCAGCTGCAAATAGCGTTTATGAAACGCTAGGAAAGCACTTAGAGCCTGGTCAGAAACCCAAAGTTCTCAAAGGTGAAGAAATGACCCTTTGGGTGCAACACTTTGATAGGCGCACAGTCAAAAATTTCACCATGGTCGGCCTATCACAACGAAAGCATGCCAAGGAGACCGATAGCAACTACGCAGTAATGCCAAACGTTGGCGACATTTTAGACGAACATCCGGAGGTAGCAACCGTTGAATTGACGATCACGGCTATGAAAAGAAACCCTTACTGGTGGGACGAGGAATCAGCAAAAAACGTCTCCACTGATCTCATAAGCGTCAATGTTCGTGGAGTTCCTGGCTACAGAGACATCGAGGTGGGCAATGTGGAAAAGAAAATAGACATATTTCTCCGCAGGAGTTCCACGGATGTCGTCCGTGTTCATGGAAAGGCAGATCTGCTTGACTGGTACCATACACTAAATGGGCGAAACAATTTTCCGAAAGATTCAGACGTCGTCAACCACAAGATATTCATCCCACCGGGCGGCTTCTCTCAAGTAACTCAAATCATTCCCATTCCACAAATAGTGTTGGTGCAAGACCGACGCAACCCTAACATCACCTACCATGTGCCTGTTAAGCTGTTCATCAACTTCCTCAAAGACGAAAAGCCGAGCATATACAGCATGACCAAGAGTTTCGACGACGCCGACCGTCGTGTTCAGTGGACTGTGCCAAAAAATCGAAGGAAAGTGATGGAACGTGACGTGGACATATTCACCATCATAACCAGTGCTGACAAGATGAAAGGCATCGAGGAATGGTACCTGGGCGTGATGATCCACCCGGAGACGAGCAAACGCCTGCTGAATGACAGTGTGCTCTCGCCGATCCCGGGCCACGTGGACCCCGCCGGCGCTCCTCGAACCGGAGAACTCGAGTACCGACACGATCACGACGAATACCTCGAATACCAGTAAGTTTTTGCGGATGAGTTTTTTTTTGCGGATGAGTTGGAGATTCTATTAGAAGCGTATTATGCGACATAAATACTTGCTTTACATGGGTGTTCTTGGTAGTTATTTTCTTATCACTATCACTACCATTTTAATCGAATTATTAGAAGCACTTCCAATTACCATCCCTTTAAAACTTACACTAAGTTTCAAATGAACAGCCCAGTAACCTTATATTTAACCCGCGCCGGGCCGGTGCTCCGAGACTTCCGCGCCGGACCGGGGGGTGTCTGAACACCCCCTTCTAACTCGGCTCCTGGGCCACGTAGCGACACGCGGTAAGCGGCAAGCGAAAGAACGTCCAAAACAAGAACGAAAACACTTCAGTCATTTTTTGGGTCAGGTCAAAGGTCAGGTCACCAGAGGTCACCAAAGGTAAAATGTTGACTATTTCAACATTTTGAAAACTGCAGACGGCTTTCTCGGGAACCGACAGAGCTACAGCGCCGCAGAAAAGCGCATTCGATAGCCCTTTCACAGACCTTTCTGACATCTGTGTATTGTTTACAGATTTGACCTCAGGTCAACGGTTTAGCCTCCAGAGGGCAAAAACTCCCAAAATAGCAGATTTTACGAAAGTGTTTTTTTTTCGGCAATAACTTTTGACTCAAAAGAGCCATGACATCACTTTTGCCAGCATCGTGTTCCTCTCGTCGAAACGCGTCGAATAAACCATAATTTAACCTTGAAAGGTCCACTTTAAAATTTGACCTCAGGTCAAGGTCATGACCTGACCGGAAAAGGTCATGTTGCATATCAGTCGATCCGCAACGTCGAGCCGAACACATCTAAGGGTTTTTAGCGCTCTAGCACGCCTCTCTCAGAAGTTATTAGCGAAAAACTGTTAGATTCTGTTCGTGACCTGAGATGACCTCGGGGACATAACGAGGGGCCACAGTTGCCATTTTCCGGTTCAGTGTGTCAATTTCACCTACATCTCGATGTTTGAGAGTGTCTAGAATAGCGTTCGTGCAAAACAGACGCTTTTCAATTTTCTCCCATTGACTTATAATGGAGAGGCCAGAAAATTGACCTGACCTTAGGTTACCGATATGAAAAATCCGAGATAAACATTTTATAGATAATGTTACTCTTATCAATCGCTGAAAGTTTCAAGGCAATCGTTCTGTCGGTGTAGCTATGACGAGCATTCTTATTTTGTTCTGAGGTGAGGTCACTTAGTGTGACCTGGTGACCTAACCTTAGGCGACCTGGGTCTGAAATTTTCACAACGTGTGCGGAAAAGATGCATGAACAGGTGTGCCAAAAACCGCAGGGCTGTGTTCAAACATCCCCGGCCCGGCGCGGGTTAAATGATACGGCGGGACTTCGAATGCTGCACACCCAAATGCAGTTGACTACAGAATGATGCTCCACATCTTTCGGGCAATCAATTCCTTGGAATGCGGTAGGCTGTACCGCCTCGCTCAGGCCGACTGACACATGCTCACAATGTGACTCTGCGGTATGTTTTCGCCGCAGACACGCTAAATGTTTTATTAGCGGCACAATCTAGCGTTCCAGTCAACTGACAGGCTGTAGCAGAGTAACATCATTCTGTAGCCAGCTATACAGTGTAAGTAAATAGTACGAATATAATCCATAGAATAAGGTGTCTGATTGTGGTAGTTGTCTATAATTGTATTTTTTTCTGTGATTACTGAACAGCAGGAACATTTCATTTTCAGGTACCTAATGGGTGAACATCTCCTAAAAGCAAAAGAAATGCATGCCCGTTTTATCGAAGACACTGAAACGACGATGGATATCGAATCAGGTAGGCATGACATGCATCTGGCATATTACAAAGTTTGTTTAATCGATATGTTTGTGAGGCGACATATAACTTCAGAAGGTACACCCCACTCATAAGCACGGCGCAAGTCATTCGTTTTTTTTTTCAAAAATAAATTTAGCCTTTTGAATTCAATGATTCAATATGATTCAGCATTTACACGAATTATGATAGCTCTCACCACATGTTGCGAGGCGCTTGTGCATCACATGCATGACACCACTAAGGTCAGCTGACTGCACTTGGCTTTTCAGAGGACGATGGCGTTATGTTGGTCAGAGGCTGGCTGACTCCTCGAACCGGAGCGGACGGAGTGGAGGCGGCTGAAACGCCCACCACCATCTCGGCCCTCTACCGGGATGACGCGCTCAACACCCTGCAGCGGGCAGTCATCTGCACTCCCAACATGACGTTTCACGACTGCGAACGGCACAAGCACGTCAGGTCAGACTAGTGCTCTCGACGACGCCAGATCGTTTCGTAGCAGCGAGTATTTAATGAGCTCTGTTAAAAACAAGCAAGTGTGATTTTATATCATAGGATAAAGGTGATGAACACACTTCAAGCATGATGTATGAATGCGTAGTAAGAGAAGATATCACATTGGATGGTCGTTATACCAAAACATTTACTGTATGCCTGGCCTATTCAAATACATTAGCCAGAGGGGTGTGGTAATAACTGGTGTAAGCAAATTGACCACGGTCAAAAATGTATTATAGTTCGTTTTTTTTTTAAGTTTGACCCTCACTGTAAACGTCTTTTTGAACATAGCACGAGAATTGCTAGCTGAATTACTGAGAAAACTGGTTGGCGCACACTGATTTAACCAGATTTCACAGACGATCAATTTCATCAAATTTATTTACTATTTCACAGACTCGTAAATCGTATCTGCCAATACCTACAGCCTCACAGGGATAGACGACTTCTCAGGAATTATGTCTGAACTAATAAATAAATTGCACGGCGCTTAACATAACGTTAAATCGTCGATGTTCAAAACTTATTTTTGAAAATATTATTCATAACTACAATACAATGTGCGCTTACCAGTTTTCTCAGTAATTCAGCAAGCAATTCTCGTGCTGTGTTCAAAGAGACGTTTACAGTGAGGGGCAAACTTAAGAAAAACGGACTATACCAGAATGCACTTAACCCGCGCCCTGGTGTGGGTCTGAGCCACCTTCGCCCTGGTGGGGGGGGCCAAAATGACCCCCCCCCCGTCTAACTCGAAAACGAAGAGGGCTAGGAAGACGCGGAAAAAAGCAAACGAAAGCCCATAACAAGTACGTTCGAAAGTATTTCGGTCATTTTTTTCGCTAAGGTCAATATTGAGGTCGCTAGAGGTCATCATAGGTCAAATTTCAGTGTTTTCGGTGTTGCCGGACATATTCCGCTGTAGCTCGGAAACTAGAAGAGCTAGAGAGCCGCGGAAAAAAGCAATCGATAGCTCTTTTCAAGCTCTTTCGCCAAGGTTCGTCAGATTTGACCTCAGCTCAACGGTTTGGCCTACAGAGGTCATGCAAGGTCAACTTGGCAAATTTTGTTGAAAATGTTTTTAACTATAGCATGCATTCACGAGAAAATAGAGAAACGATTCATGCACCATCGTGCTTGGCTCGTCGAGACGCGTCGAATGATATATAGCTTGACCTCGAAAGGTCATTTTGAAAATTTGACCTCAGGTCAAGGTCATGACCTTACCGAAATAGGTCATGCTGCATATCATTCGATCCGCATTGACGAGACAAACACGATAAACGTCGAACGGAGTCTCTATCTCTATTCAATAACAAGTAAGTGCAGAAAAACCGCTGGTGACCTCTGGTGACCAGGGAGATGACCTAGCGTGACCTCAGCGAGGTCACAAGCAAATGGTTTCACATGGGCTGTGATTTGCTGACCCAAGACACTTCAATAACGAAATATAGGATCAATCACGCCCGATTTAGCTGAAAAACAACTACTTTTCGATTCTCCCATTGACTTATAATGGGGAGCAGCGATGACCTGACCTGACCTTAGGTCACATTTATAAAAAATCCGAGATAGCCATTTTGTAGAGCTGGGTGACATCTTCAAGTACTGTAAATTTTACATCGATCGGATAAAAGCTGTGCCTTTGAGAGAGCTTTGAACTTTTTTAGAGGTGGTGTCAGTTTTGGTGACCTTGTGACCTGACCTGACCTGACCCGAACCCCCCAAAACAGGACATGATGTAAAAATGTTGAATAAACAGCTATACAAAGTTTCAGGGCGCTAACTCAAGTGGTTTCTGAGTTATCGCTGAAAAACCACAGGGGGGGGCCAAAATGGCCCCCCCCCACCAGGGCGAAGGTTAAGCCAACATTTTGGGATGGTCTCGTTCCTAAGTCGGCTAAGAGCTTCGGTCCAGAAAATAAATTTTTCGTTGGCATACAGTAAAATACATACCAAACTCGGCCGGTGATAAATTTTCAAGACCTCAGTCCTTACTGATTTTTGAACTCGGCCTTCGGCCTCGTTCAAAAATCCAGTAAGGACCTCGGTCTTGAAAATTTATCTACACCGGCCTCGTTCAGTATTATATATTACCGAATGACCGATCGCACATCGCCAACTGTCATATTTCAAGGCCGATTCCCTATAGGTGATTCACAGCGCGCTGCCACCCAGCGTTACCAGGTATTGGCGCTTGGTTTCCTTAGAAACATAATGCAAGATTGCAATTTCCTTGTGTTAATGGAAATCGACCGGTCAGCCTTGGTGGCGCTGGGAAGCGGCGTGCCGTATACCAGGTCCCCGCGCAACTGCATAGGCTGGTTTCGCTCTGGTTACAAGCAGAAGTGTCTCTGTCGCTTTCGCTTGGACCTAGTATACTGAGTGATGGAGTGATACTGTAGGATCGACTCTCTACAGCGGGGATCAGAACCAGAACATTCCAATTTTACTTCCCTTCTATGTTTTCTTGTTTGCAGGTACAACTTGACGATGTTTGCTGGTCGCTGTATGTACTGGAGTGAGAATCTGACGGCTTTCACGGACCAGGGCTGCGAAGTGGGCCCTCTCAGCACCGTGGACGTTCTTCACTGCCGGTGTTCGCACCTGACCGACTTCGCCGGCTCCTTCCTGGTGCTTCCCAACAGGCTAGACGTCACTATGGTGGTCGATATGAACATGATGCTGTCTCAGAACCCGACAGCGCTCTACTGGATGGGCGTCCTATTACTGATCTTCCTGCTGCTCCTCGTCTACGCCCGCAAGCAGGACCAACGGGATGTGAAGCGCCGCAACATCATCTACGTGGACGACAACGACCCGAGGCATCGGTATGCCTACTTGGTGACTGTATATACCGGCGTCCAGTACAAGGCAGGCACCAGCGCGCACGTCGCGATGTTTCTTACTGGCGAAAAGGGTTCCTCTAATACTCACCTACTGACAGGCGAGAAGAAAAGGAAGCGGACGCTGGAGCGCGGCTCCGACTCGTGGTTCCTAATAACCACCCACGGCTCTCTCGGAGACCTGACGGAGCTGCACATCTGGCACGACAACAGCGGCAGCAACCCCGAGTGGTTCCTGGAGCGGGTGCTGGTGCGCGACTGTCAGACAGACAGTGTGTGGGTGTTCCTGGTCGGCCGCTGGGTGCACCCCGTGACGGGACTGCTGGTGACCGTTCGGCCGGCCGCACTGCACGAGGTCACCGCCTGGAACACGTCCTTCGCGCGTCGGGCCGAGGAGAGTCTCCGCGATGGACACTTGTGGTTCAGCGTGTTCTCCCGGCCACTCAGCAGCTCATTCACCCGCTGCCAGAGGCTCGCCTGCGCCATGACACTTCTGATGGTTAATCTGCTGGTCAGCCTGATGTTTTACGGCGTTCCCACCGGGGACGCGTCCGATCAGATTTCACGCAGCCAGTCGTTTGGTCTAGACTGGTATGATATCGTCATCAGCGCGGAGAGCGCACTGCTGGTGGGCCTGCTTGTGACGCCCATCATCGTGCTTTTCCGGCGCTCCGAACCACTGACTGATGAACAGGTGCGCACTCTTGTCACCGATAACGACCAAGGGCACAGCCAAACGGGGGCGAAGGAAACAGGGAGATCAGCTGTGGCAAGTCCAGCAATCGTGGGTGGTGCTCCTACAGAAAATACTGGTGCCGAGGCTTCTGCTGACATCGCGGAGATGCAAGAACGCGTCGGTGGAGGCGCCTTGCCGCTGCCAGACAAACGGAGAGGCTGTATGCTACCGTGGTGGTGCATCTATGTGGCCTGGATGCTGGCGGCTCTGACCATGCTGTTCAGTGGTGTTCTCTGTCTCGCATACAGCGCTCAGTTTGGAGCTCTCAAGTGCTATATCTGGCTAGTCTCCTCTGGCGTGTCGGTGTTGCAGAGCGTGATTTTCATCCAGCCACTTATCATTGTCGGCGCATCTCTGCTGGCATCATGGTGCTGTCAGGCGGCGCCAGAAGTGGAGAATCGCTCAGAAGAACGTCCTGCCCACGCTGCAATGAATGCCGATATCGCAGAGGAGTATGCACAAGCTATCCACGCCAAGCGCACGCAACCTATGTATCGCCAAGTGCCAAAGCGGAAATTGCGCAAAATGCGTGCGAAGAAAATGAAGGATTTGCTGACCCACGAAGCAATCCGTGACATTGCTACGTTTCTTGCCTACATCGCCTGTTTGCTGGTGATCATCCACGGCAACAAAGATCCGAACGCATTTTATTCCACGATGACTGCACGAAATCTGTTCGTGGAAGGTGGTGCGGTGGCGGGTGATGACGACGCAGTGACCCTAGAAGATGCCAAAGAGCTTGGTAACGTAATACACTACCTCAACACAACGCTTATCCGCTCACTTCACAAGGCGGAAGAATACAACGGCAAGCTGGCAGTACGCAACGGGATGACCCGGCAGGACGGTTTGTATCTAATTGGTGTGGCGAGACTGAGGCAAGTGCGTGTGACTCGCGATGCCTGCCGTCCCCCTGATCAGCTCTTCTGGATGAACTTCACGGCCTGCAAGAGACCTTTTCTGTTGAAGTACGAAGATACCAAAAACTACGGACAGGGCTGGTCACCGGAGCCGCACCTTCATGACGATCCCTGGGACAACGAAGCCACAGAGGCGTGGATTCATAAGGACGCCGACTACCTTCAAACAATGTCTGTGCAGGGCAAGCACGCGCTATACCCCGGCTCCGGATACACACTACATCTGGGACGAGCAAAGAAGGCCTCTCAGGTTGTACTCGACTACATAGAAGACACGAAGTGGCTGGACGCGTATACCAAAGCGCTGTTCGTCGAGTTCACAATGTATAATGCTGATAGCGACCTGTTTAATCTGGTGGTACTGCTGTTTGAACAGTCCAGGGCGGGTACCATCACTCCGTCTTTTGACATAAAGACGAGCAAGCTCTACGTCGACACGCACATGAACCGGCTCACAATTTTCATGACAATATTTTATGTGTTTTTCATCATCTTTAACACAGTGGTAGAGTCAAGGAAGATATTCAGAATTGGACCGAAGTTATATTTCAGGGATATGTGGAGCAGGCTTGACTTCCTGCTGGTAGTCATGGGCTACGTTTGTGTGATTTTGTACATCAACAGACACATCGTCTTGGAAAAGGCATTTTCAAAACTTAGGAACACGGATGAAAACAAGTTCGCCAACTTCTACATTCCCGTATATTGGGACTACATTCTGACCTACGCTCAAGCATTTGCGCTAGTCCTGACCATGGCCAAATTTTGGAAGATTCTTACATTCAACAAGAGAATGGTAACATTCAGCTTGACATTGCGATATTCGCGGAAGGAGCTACGAGCATTTTTCATCTTTTTCGCCATTGCCGTCATTGGCTACGCGTTTTGGTCCAACGGCCTATTTGGAGCTTCTTTGGAGGACTACCAAAACATGTGGTCTTCTATTATATCACTTATCCTTTTCTCTATCGGGACCTTTGACTACGATGGCTACATCACCACAGACCGAACCTTCGGCGCGATCTTCTTTGTTACGTACGTCTTCTTCGTAATGATCTACCTGATCAACGTGATGCTGTCCATCATCATGGCCGGCTACGAGATGGCAATGGACGACATGCAGCATCTCGTCACCAAGTACGACGTGGTCGACGTGTTCATCTGGGAGGTACGCAACTTCTTTGAAGACTCGTCAAGCAGCAGCGAGGACGAAGGACGTATGGCGGCGGCGCGGACCAGACAGCGCCGTCGCGTGCGTGAACTGCTTCGTCGCCTCTTTCCGTGGTGTTTGGACAATGCCCGGAAGCGTGACCTGCGCCGTCCGGTGGAGCAGGAGTCGATGGAGCAGCTGCAGCGTTTCATGTCGCTGACGGCAGCAGCGGGCGGCAAGCCACCGGCTCCGGCAGATCAGCGCGAGGGCAGTGTCGCCAGTGCTGAGGATGCCGAACTGCGCGCTGCGGCCGCCCGCGGCCCACGCCGTGTGGGCATGATCGAGCCCGAGGATGTGGACGAGGACGAGGGGGCGGCGCCCGCGGCGGCGGACCAGCAGCCCGGCCACAGGTTCCTGCTGGACGAGGAGGATGTGGCCGGCGGCCGGCGCGGCCACACGCGGCGCCGAGTCTCGGCGGCAGCGGAGCGGCACCGTCGCCGCAGTCGCGCCACCACCGGCCGCCGCCACCGCGGCCCGCCAGTGCCCAGACGCAAGTCTGTACAGAACGACCCGCACTTCCTCCCGTCACTGACAGCCGAACCGGAGGAGAGACCACCGGCAGCCGCTGTAGCGCAGAACAGCTCCTCCGCCCAACGGAGGCAGTCGACGAAACGGCGAGTGTCTGGGCAAAGGCGAGCCTCCGATCGGCGCAGGTCGTCCAGCAGGCGGAGGTCGTCGGGTCCGCACAGGCCACCGGCGCCGACCAGCTCGGCTCGCAGAAGGGTCTCGTCAGGCCAGCGACCCAGCGGCGGTCTGCAGCGGGCGCCGGCGCCCAGGGACCCGTCCCAGCCGTCCACCAGCGGTCTCACCCGAGCCGACCTGGCGCGTCTGGCCGGACGCTCCACGGCTGCTCCGCCTCAGGCGCAGGGCGGCGCACGGCCTCACGTACCGACACGATGAGTCTCACTGGGAGCTATCATCCTCGACAATAGACGGCACTTGGCAGAGAGGATGAACGTGAAATAGTGTTCTGTTGCTTTGAGACTTCGTGTGCTGTTACCTGTGTCTCTGTGCTGTTCATTGTAGTTCATCCGCGGATATCTGCCCTTTTTGTGGCTGTTTATCAATATTGTGAGCTACGAGCTATGTTGGCATGTCTTCTTTTCGATTAGATGGTGCCAGTGTTAAATACACAAAAAAGAGTGTATGTATATCGTAAAAGCGTACAGTTTATTCCGCTACTCCGGGCCCTTCACGCCAATACTAGTGAAATGCCGCAGAGGTTTGCTGCAGCAAATATGCAGTGTAATATGAAGGTAGCAAAGGTATCTCAAACGAAGGTATCTCGAAAGTACTGTGAAAGAAAAGAAGAAGGGAAGGAAGAAAAAACGAGAAAGAAAAAGAATGCGAGAGAAAAAGATCGGGATAGAGAGAGAGAGAGAGAGAGAGAGAGAGAGAGAGAGAGAGAGAGAGAGAGAGAGAGAGAGACAGAGACAGAGACAGAGAGAGAGAGAGAGAGAGAGAGAGAGAGAGAGAGAGAGAGAGCGAGAGAGAGAGAGAGAGAGAGAGAGAGAGAGAGAGAGAGAGAGAGAGAGAGAGAGAGAGAGAGAGAGAGAGAGAGAGAGAGAGAGAGAGAGAGAGAGAGAGAGAGAGAGAGAGAGAGAGAGAGAGAGAGAGAGAGAGAGAGAGAGAAAAACCTTCTGAACCTTCTGCAATCAATGGCGTCACGGGCTCAGCCCCGGCGACTCACTAGGGTGCCTGCCCAGACCAATGTCTCCCCCTAATTCCTATCATCCTTCCGGCTCTGCAATGGTCTTGTCGACCGAAAGGGCCTAACCCAACAAAACAAACAAACAAACAATCAATGGCGTCTGATACTGCCACTGCCTTCTTGTTACCGACGAGTACACCTTTTCGTCAGAGATTTCGGCGCTTTATGAATCCTGCGGAACCACGAGTTTAAATCCAGGCCTTGCCTTTCACTGATGACTTGTTAATTTTGCCAAAAGAAGTGTCATAACAAGTCTAACAGTAACCAACCTATCTCGCAAGCCTTCAAAAACCAAATTATGCATAGGTACATGTACCTAAGTCTTGATGACTTATTTGTGATGGCTCGGACTATCATCCATGCACAAGCAATGCCCACGTTGGTATCAGCACTACGAAACACTACATGAACATTGAACATGCATGCCTTTTGCCGTGATGGCTTAGTCTCTTTGCCGTTTTGCCTGGTCTCTCCGCCTTTCTCGCAATTCCCAACTGTATTGTATTGTATTGACAAATAACCCTCGCCGGACCTATTGGTTTTCTATATACGCGCCGGCCGAGGGGGGGGGGGAGGGCGGGTACATACGACCCCCCCTCGCCGTTTCGCCCCTGGTGGAGCTAGCGCGTCGCGGAAAAAACGAGCGTGTGCGCCGTTACGAGACGCAGAGATTGGTACCCGATTTTAAGGTCCTAGCTCAACCAGTGACCTCTGAGGTCAGGTCAAGTGCCCCAGGGTACGGTTCAGTTTTTGGTGAATAACTTAGCAAAAAACGGCCGCAGAGCCGCGATTTTGGCAGCATCGTGTTTGCCTCGCTTAGGCGCGTCGAATGATATACTTTTTGTTCGGGTCAGGTCAACTTAGGGTGTTGACCTCAGGTCAAGGTCAGGTCAGCACCCCCAGGTCACCAAGTTGGTCGAAAGAGGTCATGTCGCATATCATTCGATTCGGCAGGTCTTCCTGAGTCCATTGGTGGCTTTCTTGACTCGCTAGCTCAATTTGATCGGGAGTTATTGACGAAAAACTAATATGACCTTGATGACGTCATAAATGACGTCACGGAAGGTCAACATTGCAAAAGTGACGCATCTTACCTTGCAAGGAGTGCATCAAATCACGATTATGTGTGCTTGAGATAGTTGGAGATCGTTCCCGGCGCCAGAATAGCAGTTTTCATTTTTCCCCATTGACTTATAATGGTGAGGTCACGAAAATGACCTGACCTCATATGACCTTTAGGAAAAATCCGAGATATACAAGTTGTGAGACTCATAATGGATACTAGATCCTGCAAGTTTCATTTCCCTGTGACATCTCCTCTGGCATTGAGGGCGTTGCGAAGTTGCGACATCTGAAGACCGTGCAGAGGTTCACTTATGACGTCATAGGTCAGTGACCTGACCTGACCCAAAAATGCGGTTGGTGTTAAAAGATGCGGCTTGGATCAAAGGTCAGGTACGCCAAGTTTCAGCTCTCTATCGCCAGCGTGTTCGGAGCTATCGCGAAAAAACCCTAATGGGGGTGGCACCCGCCCCCCCCCCCTCGGCCGGCGAGGGATAAAACACTCTCCGATGCAATACCGGCTATTCTGAGCGTCGCGTCACGTTTGTTAATAAAAAGGAGAGAACATGTTAAATTGACGCACGAAATAATCACGTCTCTATCACACAAAAAGCAGCTAAAATCACATAAAACTGTCCACCGCATACATAGATAATGATGCCCGTAAAATGACGCTATGTGGCGTCTAAAAGCAGATACAGACATGTCGCGGAGACAGAGGCGGATCCAGCTCAGAGGTTTGGGGGGGGGGGGGGCAAACCATAAAAATTTATCGATTCTTTCCATGCATCGTCCATAGGCGTAATGTTAAAATCATGCCGTTTGGGGGGGGGGGGGCAAATGCCCATTTTGCCCCCCCCCCTGGATCCGCCACTGCGCGGAGATCAGGTGGCAGAGAGTTGTAGAGGCGGACTACATGAAACAGGAAGCGGCGCTTGCCTCCTTTAGTTCTCACGCTCGGGAGGGCCAGGGCAGCGTCCTGTCTGGTGGATTTAGAGCGGAGCTCATGGTTTGCTGAAAGGTGGGAAGCGATATCCTGTGGTTCTGCGGTATGACAATTTGTGTGAAGTACATTGAGACATTGTGACTCATACAGCTGACGGGCGGTGAGCCAGCTCAGGTCCCGTCGCACGTCCGATATGTGGCCACATTTACGCCGACCTGAAACAGCGCGCAGACAAAAATTCAAAACTTTTTGAAGGCGCTGCATGTTGGTTTTAGAGCCGTTTCCAAAGACCGCCAAACAGTAACGGACGTGCGAGAGAACCAGGGCGTCGACTATGAGGGGGAGAAGTGACGAGGGGATCTGATGGCGCACGTGAGACAGGGCGATAAGGATGCCGTTGCACTTTTTGACGAGGACAGATACACGCGAGTCCCACGCGAGATACATACTTGTCGAACACAAGGTTTCTCACGGTGGGGCTTTCATGCACGATGTCCTCGCGGAACAGAATGGTGATCGGGGCCATGCCGCGACAATTTTGACGGGAACCACAGACCATGAACTCTGTTTCCCCGGTGTTTACTTTCAGACCATGGGAGAGGAACCAAGCATCCAGAGAAGATAGGGTCTGTTCCATAATAGTAATGAGCTGTGGGAGGGAGTGTTTTTTGCCTGAGACCAACATTTTGAGACCAAACGGAACGCCAATGTCTACTTTCTGAGACCATAGTTGAACCAGAGCCTCTCGACAGCGGCCAGCAGCGCGCTGACCACCGCCGCCAGAGGAATGAGCAGCAGCAGCGCCAGAAGGTCGCCGGCCGTCAGCTCCTTGAAGTCGGAGGCGCCCGACGAGCCGCACTTGCTGCCGAAGTTGATCCAGCGCAGCTCGAGCCGCGACAGCAGACCAGTCTCCTTCAGACGCAGAAGCTCCTGGTTGATGGCATGCTTCAGTCTGTACCTGCCCTTCACCATGACTAAGTAGTTGTTGGACTCCTCCACGGGTTCGTCAAGCAGGGGCACCAACTCGCACACACTGGAGCCCAAGAAGAAGGACAGTTTGCGCCGGTCCGCGTAGGACATAACGTTTGGCTGCATAACTTGCCACTGACTGTGGTGACTGATGTTCAGAGCGATGAAGTTTCGCTGTGTCACTGAGCGCTGGTACAAATCCCTCTCGTAGGGATCGTCGCTGCTCTTCCAGTGGTTCATCGCACCGATGCTCGGGTCGACTGCGAACGTCCAGCCGCGCGCCGCGTGGAACTCCTTCAGACTGTGGAGAGGCCGGCTCACGGCAGTGGCCACCGTCAGGTGCGAAACCAGCGTGGCTGCGTAGCTGTTGTAAATGATGGTGTACAGCGCCCAGCCGAATATGGTGACCGTGCGAGATGATAGAGTGCTGGGCGTTGTCGGCCAGCCTTGTCCCACCATGATTGTGAAGCTAGAGAAGAGGCACGAGCCCCACGTGGCTCGGTCGGTCGTCGTGGGCGCGCCTGCTCCTCGGCAGGTGACACTGAGCAGCACGCGGAAGGCCAGAGAGAGGAGGAACAGGGCGGCGATCAGGGCCCACCAGACGTCGGCGTGCAGCGGCCGCAGCAGGGAGCAGAGCGTGTCGGGGGTCACCGCCTGCCGGTGCCCGGTGCGCACCAGGAACGTGTAGCTGGTGCGGCCCACAGACACCGCGTCCACGTAGTCCACCACGGCCGCCCGGTCCGAGCGCATGTAGAGCATTGTCAGCGCCAGGTCGGCGCGTCCCGACACCAGCTCGCCCATCATCCCCGACCAGGAGCCGTTGGCGTCCAGACTGCCGTAGCCGCCGCCCCGCAGCAGCGGCACGATCCGGTACCGGAGACCGAGCTGGTGCGCCACCGTCTTCCACACGTCCAACAGGTAGCCCTCGTAGCTGAAGGAGCCGTCGGGACGAGCGCGAATCGACAGGTATGGTGGGTCGTGGATGGCGGTAACAACAAGTTCGTTATCCAGGTAGGAGCTGTTGAGTCCTTCCAATGACCAGTTTCTTCCAACCGGGATGAGACTGTTTATGGATGGCATGGCTTTGAGGACTGGAAGATGGCGTACTCCTGATTAAACAAAGTGTCCAAAATTGATAATTCGACGTGACAGCTATGCCATCTCCTTCGGCTGATCACACAATGTCCAGGTAAGCGGTCTTTCCGAGGTTAAAATCCGAATTTAACAGATGTCCGTAAAACAATCAAAGTTCCTCCATCGCACGGCGCACCGACGGACCGTTCCGTGCTCGCACCCACACGGACCGTTTTGTGCTCACACCCACAGGCTACTAATACTGACACATCCTGGACGTGCATCGTTTCCTACGGACTTCAAAAGTACGATCTATTGGAGCTGGGTGACGCAAAAGGTGGCTATCAGTCGCCCGCCGAGCGACCGCTCCGACTGCGGGGTTCTC